GCTCTTTAAAGTCCACACAAAGCCGGATTTTTGAGGACAAAAAAAGAGGGAGCTTTAAGAAAACGTTTATTCAGATGTTCTCAGTATTTATCTGGGGTAAAAAAAAAGCTAAATTCTGTAGTCGAGCTAAGTGGCCTACATAGTCGTATCTTATTCCATTTTCCATGGCCTGAAACAACTAGGAGTAATTTTACTCCCCCTGGAATCTAGTCCAGATAAAGTCTATCCCTTCAGCATTTCGTCAGTATTCTCAGATAACTCAAATGATTCCCATTTATACTCCTGGGTGGACAGAGGAAGTGTAAGATTAAAGTATTTTGCCTAAAGCATGGCACAATGACCCTCCAAGGGCTCGAAGTCCGACCTCATCGACCTTTATTGGGAGAAACTACCTAAATACGCGCATGCCGTACACAGCTGAATGGTACAGCCGTTTCTGCCACTGGTGATTATTATACTTTAGACGGAAAAAAAACTTATCTGTTTACTTGGGCGTGAAAGAAAAACTTCTGCTATAACACTGAAAGATTCCTATCGCTTACAAACCAAAATACGAAAAGAAAAACCGAAAGTAAAGTATTCAGTGACTTTGGTGATGGCATTTCTCGCGACTGAGAACAAAAATCGACATCTGGAAGATTTGACACAGGCCGATTTTGGCCGTGTACCTGAAAGATTTCTGTCGGTAAGGCCCAAGTCAATAACTAAGAATTTGTAATATTGACAATTACGCCCATTGTTTATTTTGTGGTGATTCAACGCTTGTTTTATTCTTGAGTGCGTCAAGGCACTTTCCAATTTTTATTTGGGGGTTGTCGATCCTCTTATTTTCATTCATTAATAAAGTCGACTCTTCTAGTCAGAAAAAGGCTATTGTGTTTATGTGATGGACAAAATTATACATGGTTGCTTGTAGATATGAAATTTCTCTTCTCGTGTTCAACTCGACATCTTTCCCGTTCGCTGCGTTCAATCGTTGGTTATCGAGTTAAAAATTCGAAGAGAAATTCCATATTCCATATCTACGCACACACATGTATTATTGCCAATTACAGAGACAGCGAAAATGAGAGCGAAAATCAAAATGATGTTACAGTGTGTTGCACAACAATGTAATTAGCACCTTTGCACAAGTATAGTAGTGGGGGTGATAGTGACAAGAACAAAGACAGCCACATTGATAGTGACAAAAACAGGGACAATGACAGCGGAAGTTGAAATGACAGAGAGAGTGACACTGACAGTGACAGTAACTGTGTGAGTCACAGAGACAGTCACATTGAAGTAACAATGGCTAAAACAGATGGTGGCCGTAACAGTGACTTAAAAGAGACATTGACAGTGACAGTGGTGGTGAAAGTTGTAGTGGCAGTGGCAATGACATTGACATTGAAATTGACAAAGACAGAGACAGAGATTGTAACGGTAAATGATTTAGAGACTGTGACAGACATCGACAGTGACGGTGTCTGAGATTGTGACTCTGACAAAGACAGTGGCATTAACACTAACAGTGACAGGGAAAGTGAAAGTGGCAGTGACTTGTACAGACACAGAAACAGTCACAGTGACAGTGACAGAAAGAGAGACAGTGACAATGAAGTTGGAACAACACTTTAATAGACAGTGAAAGTGACAGAAACTGTACAGTAAAGCTAAAAATCCTTTCTGGGTTTTTGTCTGATATATCGCATGTTTTGAAGGACTCTGATCTATATGAAAGGTGGACATTTTCCTCCCGTAATGACCTGGGCCGATTATGGATCGTTATCGCTTAGTCAACATAGCAAGTGCTCAGTTTGAGGTTTTCCCGTAACGACCTCATTCTTGGGTTGTAAGAAGTCATTAACACACTAATCTAAAGACATTAGAAGGTGAAAACTATAAAGAATTACGAAAAATATATGAAACGATTAAACGGTTCATTTGTCTACGAAACCTCCATGAACCACAACATTTTCCATAACTTCTTACCGAACCGTCCATTTCAAACGTCAAAAATGTATCTTTTAATCGTGTCATTTTACATTTCGAAAAATATTCACAAAGATTAAGTCTCTAACGGAACGCTTGATCTGGCCTACAAAAGTCACAAAGCACCACCATTTAATTTGTGACGAGTCACCGCAGTACTCTAATTTCTTTCAATAACCTTAACGAATTAGTTTCCTGCACCCTAGGGAAAGCGCTCTTGCATGAATCTGTTCTTAAAAGTGTGATGAAACAAAATACCATCTTGGATAATAAAACAATTTTGTTTACACACTGTATGTGTCACTTTTACGCAAGTTATCCAAAGCTTTTTTTGGTTTGTTTACGCCAGTTACTCCCGAGGTACGTAAAACTTAATTTACGTTGCAGCGTAACCGTCGGCTGACCGCGTAAAGGTAATAAGGTATTCAGGATAACACTGATCGTCATGGAATATGACGAATATAGAAGGATCGTCTGAGTTGTCTACCACCGAATCAAATCGAAGGTCAAGTCTCTCTTGGTCAATGGGTGGTGGTTGCCTCATCCCTTTCTCGCCATCTGCGTATTTACCCGCTAGCACTTTTGCAAGATACATGCAGTACTCTCCCTTGCTGTTGGGTGGCTTCGAGAAAGATAAAGAGTAGCAAGACTCAGTCGCGAAATAAACACCATCTCCATAAGTCGCACCTGCGGGTAAAATTAGTTGTTAGCCAGTTAAAAAAGCTATCTCAGTTTATTGAATGATTGGTTCATGCGTAGCGTGCGTATGTAGATTTATGGATACACGCGGGAGGTTTGGAGAGCACGTGAGAAGCGTTAGACTTACTCGAGGCGTAGCCGAGAGCAGCTCTTGCTTCTCTCCAAGCTTCTCAAGTACGTTCATAACTCGATATACACACAGCTTAAAGCATTAGCAATTCTTTTAGAACATAGCATGCAAACACAAGTCACGCACGAACAAAGAGTTTACTACAACGGTGTCGGGTTTACAGGTAATCGTTTTATACCTAAAAACTATGACAAAGCCAAAACGACCAAGAAATACTTCGAGGTCAAATCTTTATTCAAAGAATTGAAGATTTTCTGCTCGGAAGCGAAAAGTGAACTGGGTTATTGCATGTACGAGACCGCGTAGTAGATTCAGCACACTTAAATCGTTTTTTACTGAAATTCAAAACCAGAAAATTGCGTATGTTTGATATTGGAAATTTAGAAAATTCTGAAATTGTTCGATTTTAGAAATAAAATCTTCTGTTAAACCCAAGGACATATCAACACTTTAAAAAAGTGTCTGCAGTTCGAAAAACGAAGCAAAAAACTTACAAATTACTTGCATTTACGAGACTCGTGTGGCAGATTTGTTGTTTACTAGAACCTACAACCAGAAAATTGCGTAGCTTTGTGTTGAAAATTTTGAATTTTGTACGATTTGAAAACAAAATTTTACGTACGTACGTACGTACGTATGTATGTACGTATGTATGTATGTATGTACGTACGTACGTATGTATGTATGTATGTATGTATGTACATGTATGTACGTACGTACGTAAAATTTTGTTTTAAAATCGTACAAAATTCAAATTTTTCAACACAAAGCTACGCAATTTTCGTACGTACGTACACTTATATACACCTTATATACACACATATACACATATAATATACATACATACATACATACATACATACATACATACATACAATGAAAACATTCCTGGTGTTTATTTGAATGAACTGCATTAGAAAAGAAGAAGGATAAACAATTAATGAAAGGCGGAGGATTGAATTAGGTTTGTTTCTAAGAACTGCGTTGATCAGGGTCCTGCCTGCTAATCGAGAAAACACGATCATAGCTTTTTTATTAGTGTGAGTTCATGTTAATGGCATTTTCTCAACAAAATGGTGGACTCTTCCTGTTATTCAGGACTCATAGAATGTTTGCTGGTCAAATAGGCAATTGAAGAGTCCTTTCACGTTTTTTCACACGAATAAAGGTAACTTACGATAGATTTTCACCAAGATTTGAACTCGTAGGTGAAACACTTACCATTCCTACCACAGAAGCTTCGATTTAACCCATGTGCGTTTATGTCCTTGACGTTACGATATGCTGTACCGTGGAATAGGTACCACTCGTTTCTGTGGTTTCCATTTTTCTCGTCCATACTTTGTTTTTTCGTGGCATAGGAACGATACATTGATGGGTTCTGGATCCTCTGAATACTTGTTACACATACATTCTCGGAAATTGATTCCATGAATTTCTCATTAACGTATTTGTACTCCGGTGAATCAGCATCAAGACGCACTGAATGGACCTTCATTTCTCTCTTCTTGGCATCTAAGGGGTGGCAGTCCCAGTTCTTTGGGAGTGGCAACACTATTTGACGTGGATGTAGAAAATATTGGTAAGGAACCATAAAACATATACATTTCAATACACCTATATCATTAAATAGCATTAACCGTAAACGTTAAAATTTCCTTAATTGCGTTTGGTGCATCAGCTACTTTATTATTCACTGATTATTCTGTGTAGTTGTAATCGGACAGAGTACCCGGAAAGTTAGCTGTAAACGGACACCTGTAATCGGACAGTTGAAGCAGCCAATCATACTAAGTCCGCTCAACTTGATTCACCAATCACAAAATTGATCACAATAATCATAGCAACCACAACATATCCTAAAAAAAAAACTGGGAATTTCCAAAATGGAGGTATTTCTACTTCAGAAATTGTCTTTACCAGAGATAATTGTCCTAAATGAATTTTATTTTCAGAAATTGTAACGGTTATGATTAAATTGTAACAGGACTTTGTCTCGTCCAATTCGGTCAGTAATCATATTCGTGATTGACAAATCGGACTCGCTTCGCGGTCGTCCGATTTCGTCAATCACTTATATGATTACAGACCGAATTAGACTCCACTCGGTCTTAGTATCATTATCAATCAGTGCTTATAACGTGAACAAACTGCATCTCACAGGTCATTGCTGAACTTGTCCTTGTAATCGTCTCGACTTAACAAGTAACAATAGCAGAGCCGTAACTTTGCAAAACCTACTATTTCAATTTCAGTTGGTAAGAATTATCATCAACCGCATTCAACTTTTTAAGTAAGGCTTTCTGCAAAGGTTCAAGGGTGGGGCTCAAAGCCCGCGAAATGGCCATCTAAAGTAATCGCTTACCATCCCTACGAAAGACCTTCCTCACTGCCCCAGTTATATTAAAGGTGACGGTTTCCTGAGCGAAAACTATTTTGGCTTGCCATTTCCTATGAGTGAAGTAAACAGATGGCTCATTTGACTGTTGTGCTGTTTCGATTTCGTAATTAGCCATCTTCTCAAATGGCTCATATTTACCATCCGCAGTTAAGAAACACCATTGAACATTACGCGACATCATCTCTGCCCGTTCCATTATGTGTTCGTTCTTCAATTGTTCTTGAAGAACTTTCGTTACTTCGGTATGCATTTTAATCACATCTGTGGAAAAGCCTGTCAGTGTTATGGTTCCTTGTTTGGAGAAGTCAAGACCCACGTCCTCTTCACGAGCCTTCCGTCTCAAATGCCTTCGACAGCGACTTGACAGACGTTCGATGACGTCCTCTATAATATCAGTGGGCGGGCATTCTCTGATGACTTTGTCTTTCAAACTTGGTATTGCCTCCGCAAGGCGCTTGCTTCGCCCGTACACAGTCACGTTATGGTGATAGCACCAGGACATCGATGTGGCATCAGCTCCCCCCTCCTCGTCGTCATCTAATTTCGTGTAACCAGGAGTGCAACAGAGTTCAGCTTTCATTAGTTTCAATTTCCTTTCGTAGACATTTATCACAGAATCTTCTATGACAACAATTCTTATTGAACGTACTGTGCCAAGGTTTACCTCTTGAAGTGACCCTATAACTACCTCGGCGGAATCCTGTGGACTTAAACCTAAGCCACCGCTACCAATTGCTGGAATAGAAATCGTCTTCAGACC